CTCCTCCCTGTCCCCTTCCTGCTTTTCTGTCTTCTCTCCTCTATCCACTTTTCTCTCGTCTTTCCTTTCTGTCTTTTAACCCTTTCCGCCCCTTTTCCTCCTCCCTTCCCCTCTTCCCCATTCTCCCTTCCCCTCCACTCCCCTCCCCTCTCCCCCTCCCTTTCCACTTACGTACTTACCGGTATGTTGTCCACTGTCTCCTCCCCCCCTCCCCCCCTCCCCCCCCCCCCCTTCGATTCAGAGTTTCACCCGAACGAAAAACGTTTTTTTTCCGTGAACGAAGGAAGGACGATGACATGTTTATACATGAGTGTGCGAACGTTTTTTGTGTGTGTGTGTGTGTGTGTGTGTGTGTGTGTGTGTGTGTGTGTGTGTGTGTAGTTGTGTGTATATATCTACGACTGTGTTGTTGTGTGTGTGGATCTTTGTACAACTAAGTATATTCATGTATATGTGTATGCTTGTGACTAAGTATAAGTGCGTGTGTACATGTGTGTATGTGTGTATCTGTGTATCTGTGACGAAGTAATATCCCTGTGTGTCTATATGTACTCATGTGTATGTGACTAAATATACCCCTCTGTGACTAGATAATATCCGTGTACGTATGTATGTATGTACGCATCTCTGTGTGTATATGTGTGTATGTACATATGTGTCTGTAACTAAATATACCCCTATATGACTAGGTAATAACCCTGTGTATGTATGCATGTATGTATGTATGTATGTACGCATCTGTGTATGTACGTGTGTGTGTGTGGATAACAGTACCTTTGGCTGTCATGAGCAGCTTTCGCCGTTTTTACCCGAGTGGTGTAATGGCGGAGCAGATTGTGTGAGCGTCGTGGTTTTATTCGGATGATGCAACGCCCGCGCAGTTTTGAGGTTGTGTTATTTGTGTTATTTTTACATTTTCTTCGGTTTGTATTTAGCTGGAGGGAGGGGAAGGGAGGGAAGGGGGGTGAAGGTTAAGATCCATCGCGTCGGGGGGCAAGAGAGTGCATTTCGTGTCTGCGTCTTGTGTCTGTCTGTTTAAGTCGTGTCGTGTTTTGTTTGGGAATTGTGGGGTTGTTGGAGTTGTTGTTCTCTTTCTATATTTCATTCTGATTTGCTGTTTTATTTGTCGTCTCTCTCTCTCTCTATCTATCTATCTATCTCTTGTCTCTCCTCTCTCTCCTCCCCCTCCCCTCCCTCCCTCCCCCTCCCCTCTTCATCCTCCATCCCTCTCTCCCTCACTCACTCTCTTTATCTATCTCTATCTCCTCCCCCCCCTCCCCGCCACGTGTTCATTCTGCGGCCGCTTCATATTAAGCTCTGGTCGTGTTATTGCGGTCGCTGTAATGAGGTAAAGCAGAGTGCAGCGGCGGCGGGACAGGCTCATCCTCATCAGCTGTCTGGGGCGATTCTCTCTCTTCCTCTTGCTCTTTATCTTTCTCTCTTTGTCTTACTCTTTTTCTTGCACATTCGCTCTCTCTCCTTCTCTTTCTCTCTTTCTATGTATGTCTAACGAAATATTTTTATGGTGTGTGTATGCGTCCGTGTATAATGACATACATATTGATACATGAGCGTCCGTGCGTGTACACATATGCTTTCATATCCCTATGTATAGTGCGCGTAGGATTCGTGCTGAACGAATTTCAATTAAAGCAACCAAGGGAATAACCAGAACAAGGGCATATTTGTGTATTTTCTTGTTCTTCCTTTCGTTGTTTTATCTGCAGTCTTTGTGTACAATTTATTAACAGTCCCTTTGCACAGTGTACTTGCGACCTTTCGTACAATTTACTCGCAGTCCCTTTGTGCAGTTCATTCGCAATCCCCACGAACCCTCCTCCGCCCACGCCCGCACAGCCCCCGCCGTGGCACCGCGGGCGGAGTCTCCCCGCCGACCTGAGCTGGGAGCGGAGGTGCGAGGCGTCGGCCATCTTGTGAGCGGCTGACCTTCGCGCCATCCCGCCCCGCCGCCGCCGCTGCTGCCGCCTCCTTCGCCCCCGCCCTTCGCCCCTCTGCAATCCTTGGCTCAGGTCAGGACGCGGTGGCTCTCGGCTCCCCGCAGGATCAGCAGCAGGTGGCTCGGCCGCGGAGAGGTGGGCGCTTCCATGGCGGAATACGTCGGAAGAGGAGCTGGGTGTGTGCGTGTGAAGGGCGCAGCTCACTCCCGCAGGCTTCTCTCGCCTCCGCTCTCGCTCTCTCTCTCTCTCTCTCTCTCTCTCTCTCTCTCTCTCTCTCTCTCTCTCTCTCTCTCTCTCTCTCTCTCTCTCTCTCTCTCTCTCTCTCTCTCTCTCTCTCTCTCTCTCTCTCTCCTCTCCCTCTCCCTCCCTCTCCCTCTCCTCTCCTCTCTCCCTCTCCCTCTCCCTCTCCTCTCCCTCTCCCTCTCCTCCCTCCCTTTCTATCTATCTGTCTATCTATCTGTTTTCTTCCTCTTCCTCTCTTTCGTATTATTTGCGTTTCCTCTCAAGAATTCCGAAGACGTTGTGTAACTTCCGCTCCGTAGCGTGTGCGTATAAACTGCGTGTGCGTATTGAAGTGCATGTGCGTCTTATAGTGCACGGGCGTATCATTTGCGTGTGCGTCTTAAACTGCGTGCGCGTATGACTTGTGTGTGCGTATTGAAGTGCATGTGCGTATGAATTGCTCCCGAGGTACAGTGTGTGCGCAACCGATTTCGTAAGACGTTTTAGTTCTTTTTGCGAATGCGATTAAGGCGCGTTTGTTTTTTTTTTTTGTTAGGAGTGTGTGGAGGGGACGTGGGGGGGGGGGAGGGGGGGGGGGGAGTGCTTATTGTGAAGACAATAGCGGAAATAAGTGTTTTCTTGGAGTAGGAGGGGGAGGAGGAGAGGAAAAAAGGAGGAGGAGGAGTAGAGGAGGAGAGAGTAGAAGGAGTAGAGGAAGAGAAGAAGAGGAGGAGAGGACGAGTGGAAGAAGGAAGGGGGTACAGAACAGGAGGAGGAGGGAGGAAGAGGAGGAGGAGAGGAAGGAAAAAAAAAAAGAAAAGGAAAAGGAGACAGGAGAAGGAAAACAAAGAGAAAAAGAATGAGGAGGAATAAGAAAAAGAGGAAAAGGGGCTTTTGCGTCATGTCTTCCATTATGGCTCGTTGTAATGGCGTGAATAATTGGTGCGTGACAAGAGACGGCGAGGAAGGAGTGGAGGAGGAGGTGGGAGAGAGGTGTCGCGCGCGCCATATTGTGTGTGTGTGTGTGTGTGTGTGTGTGTGTGTGTGTGTGTGTGTGTGTGTGTGTGTGTGTGTGTGTGTGTGTGTGCGTGTGCGTGTGCGTGTGTGTGTGTGTATCGACGCCGAGCGAGCGGTCCGACCCCCTCGGCCCCGCACAAAGGAGTCGGCGGCGAAGGCTGAACTTTCTTGCTCCGCCAAGGCCGCCCGCGCGCCACTGGCCAAGAAGCTGGGCGAAGGCGGGGCTCCAAGTCGTTGCAACCAATCAGCGGCCGGGAACGCGTATAGATCTCCGGAGCAAAGCCCTCCTCCTCCTCTCCCCTTCCCTCATCCCCTGCTCTCCCCTCTCTCTCCCTCTCCTCCTCTCTCTCTCCCCCGACCTGGATCCTGGAAGCTGTGTCACTTGATTGCGTCGCGGTTCATTGGTTATGGCCCCCTCCGCCCGCTGCTTGCCTGCTGCGATGCTGCGTCTGTTGGTCGACGGGGAGACAAAGGAGAGGGAGGAGGAGAGTTTTTTTTCCTTTCCCTCCTCCTCTTCCTTGGGCGTTGCAAAGACGGGGGAGAGAGAGAGGAAGTAAAAAAGAGGGGGATGCAGAGAATAATGCGACCTTCGAGGAGAGAGAGAGATAGAGAAGAGATAAAAAGAGGGGGATGATCAGAGAATTAATGCCCAGTTTTTCATGCTCTTGTTTCTCCTCCTCTTCTCCTTCTGAGAGAAGACTGAGGAGAGAGAGAGAGAGAGAGAGAGAGAGAGAGAGAGAGAGAGAGAGAGAGAGAGAGAGAGAGAGAGAGAGAGAGAGAGAGAGAGAGAGAGAGAGAGAGAGAGAGAGAGAGAGAGAGAGAGAGAAGAGAAATTGATCAGAGAATTAATGCCCGGATGTGTTCGCGTGATGCCGATCGACTGCAAGTGAGCGGAAGTTCCGATCGTTCGAAACCGATGCTGCGGCTTTATATTATTTTGATCATTATTGCCATCATATCATCATCACCACCACCACATCGCGTTATCATTATCATCTTTTTTATCATTATTATCATTATCATTAAGGCCATTATCGGCATCAACATCATCATCATCATGGTCATTATCGTCATCATCGTCATCGTTTTCATATTCTCATATCCCGTTTATTTTTAAAGGTGGCGTGTCTGTTCAAGTATGTGTGTTCCTTTAAGCCGTGCGACTGGAACTGAGAATAATATTTGTGTTTTGTGTGTGTGTGTGTGTGTGTGTGTGTGTGTGTGTGTGTGTGTGTGTGTGTGTGTTTACGTGTGTTACACTGAGGTCTGGATTTATTTTGACCCAAAACGTATTTATTCTGTCCCTCTTCCAGAATTAACCACTTTGATCTTTTAGAAACAGTAGGAATGGTATCCCATAGTCTTCTTTTGTAGACATTAGTTCTTTTGTAAACATAAACAAGAATGGAAAGTAGAATAGTATTTTAATATATATATTTAACCATTTACATTTGAGCCAACTAACCTGTATGAACCATTGTAGTCCATATCTTTACCCTGTGTACTGGATGACGACCCAGGACAGGTGGTTCGTCGTCCAGCACGGAGTCGTCACACCATCCAGTACTGGGGACGACCATCTGGTGCTGTAGGACGACCATCCAGTACTCGGGATAGCCATCTAGTACGACTATCTAGTACAGGGGGTCGACCATCCAGTACTGGGAGACACGACCACACGTTACTAGACGACGACCACGACCACTACGACCTGCCTCCCAGTGCTGGTGGGACGACCACCCTAGTCCCCAGTGGTAGTGATTTCCAGTAGACTGACTTTCTTGTGTTCTCTTCTCTTCTCAGCGTGGCCCTCAGCAGATGTCAAGACTTACGGATTGCACAGATGTAAGCGTCTCCTTCTTTTTTATTTATTTTTTTGTTTTTCTTTTTTTTCCCATTTTCACTTTTCATGCCTTTCTTTCTCCGACTACCCTTTTTATCTCTACCTTCTCCTCCTTCTTTCCTCTCCTCTCCCTCTAAGTACTCTTCCTCTCCAACGTTTCCATCCTTCCCTCAGGCTCTTCTTCCCTCCTTCTCTCCTTCTCTCCCTCCAACTCATTGTCTTCAACGCCTCCCTCCCTCTCCTTCCCTTCATTCTTTTTTCTTTCCTTCTTATCCTCCCCATTACCCATTTTTCCTTCCTATTACTACTCCCCTCTCTATCTCACTCCCTGCTTGTGCTTGCGCTACACACTCCGCCTCTCTCTCTCACTCATTCTCTCACTCACTCACTCACTCACTCACTTATTTCCTCCCTCCTTCCTCCGTTCTTCCCTCCTCCCTTCACACATTCATTCATTCACGCACTTACTCACTCACTCACTCACTCACTCACTCACTCACTCACTCACTCACTCACTCACTCACTCACTCACTCACATACGCACACTCACGTATTCTTTTTTGTCTGCTAGCTTGCCATGTTGACTTTGGGAGGAAATTTGAAAGCAAGGCAGAGGAATTTTGGAGAATATGAAGCACGGGTTGACTGGCGGTTCCCTGAGGTTCCTGGTTGCGAGATAAACCACCCACTCATCCTCTCTTGTTTCTTTCTTCCTCTTCTTCCTCTTTCTCCTCTTCCTCTCTTTCTCCTCTTCTTTTTTCCCACTCTATCTTCCTATTCTTCTTCCTCTCCCTCTCCCTCCCTTTCTCCCTTTTTCTTTCCGACGTCTCTTCTCCCCTTTTCTAACTTCCTCTCCCTCTTCCTTCGTTTCTCCCTTCTTCTTCCTCTCCCTCTCTATCTTTCGCTTCTTTTCTTCCCCTATTCCTCTCCCTCTCCCTTTCCTTCCACCTCTCCCTCCCCCCACTCTCTCTCTCTCTCTCCTCTCTCTCTCTCTCTCTCTCTCTCTCTCTCTCTCTCTCTCTCTCTCTCTCTCTCTCTCTCTCTCTCTCTCTCTCTCTCTCTCTCTCTCTCTCTCTCTCTCTCCTTCATCTCTATGTACCTCCCTTCCTCCTGCCTTCCCTCCCCCATTCCTCCTCTTTCTTTCCCTCTCTCTCTTTCTCTCCTTCCCCACCCATTGGCTTCTCTTCCTCAGCTTCCAAAGGTGCATGGAATCCCACATTCTCAATTCCTAGTCCGTTATTTCACGTTCCCCAGATTTTTTCCCCGATTCCCATCATGCATTCCCTTCCTCTTTCTCAATGTCCAACCCCAGTTCCCGAATCCCCCCCCCCCATCCCATTCCTCTTTCCCGATTTGCAACCCTAATTCCCGGTTTGTATCTCTCATTCCCGATTTATGCAACCCTCATTCCCGATTTGCAACACTCATTCCCGATTGGTAAGCCTTATTCCCGATTTACAACCCTCATTCCCGATTGGTAAGCCTTATTCCCGATTTACAACCCTCATTCCTCATTTGCAACCCTCATTCCCGATTTATGCAACCCACATTCCTGATTTGTCCCTTATTTCCCATTCTCCCGTGTCCGCATGCTTTATCGCTCTCCCCGGCACTAACACAAGTAGATTTTTTTCGTTTGTCGGTGAACAGCTGTATTAGCCACGCACTATCATAAGATTCCATGTTTGTTGTTATTGTTATTGTTATCGTTATTATTATTATTGTTGTTGTTGTTTTCATAATTATTGTTGTTGATATATTTATTGTTATTACTATTTAGTTCTTGGTAGCGTTGTTATAAGATAAAAGTGGTAATGTTCATATTTCTGTTAGGAATTTTACACACTATTATTTTGATAATTGTTTGGTCTGATGATAATAGATATTAATTATGGCCATGGTTTTATTGCTGGTTTTCATTAATTTATATTTTTGTAGGCATATTATTAACGTTAAAGTTTTGTGTTGATAATATTCCTCATCGTCGCATTATGTAATTGCTGGGATTAAGGTTATGATGTAAAATGTCATCTTATATATAATCTGTCTCGCTTTTGCTTTGTAATCGGTGTGTATTCAGTTCGTGTAAAAATAAGATGTAAAGCTGGATATATAAAAGTCAGATTTGCTTTCCCGCCAATTTTATTTTCCGGCGCGCTTCGCTTTTGTTTTTGTCCGTGTGTTTTGCGCACTGAGATAAGCTTTTGTTTTTTTGTTTTACCTTCGCGTCTTTTCTTGTTTATTCTTTTTTTATATGGTCATAGTAAATAATGCGGTTATGGCGTTTATTATACATATATTTTTTTGTGTTGTTTTAGAGCGTCAGTTTTAAATGAATTTTAGTTTTATGATTTATTCTAATTCCTCTGTGCATTACCACTACTTTTATTGTTATGAATACTAATACGCTTCTGCTACCATTATTATAATTGTTATTATAATAATTATTATTATTGCTCTTGTTGTTATTAATGATATTGATATTATCATCACCTCTTATCATTATAATCATGAATATCGTATTCTTTTTAATGCTACCATCCCTCTCGCCTATATTATATATATATATATATATATATATATATATATATATATATATATATATATATATATATATATAATATATATTCATTCTTTAAAATTCCGCCTTTGTATATTTATTTATTCTTTAAAATTCCACCTCTGCATATTTATCTTTTCTTTATTTATATTTTCTCGTGCAACCACCACGTGTATTAATCCCCCCCCCCTTCCCCCCCTGGCAGACCCCGGGAGCGCGATGCTTGCGGGCTCCTTGACTCCGCCAGACAAGGTCAACGGGAGGCACACCACCACCCGCCCACCACCACCACCACATCACGCCCTCATGCCCGTCATGCCCACTCTTCACACGCCGCCCTCGCCCCTGCCCACGCCCTCGCCGCCCGTCTACGATAGGTTCGCGTAAGTATTTTTTTTTTTTTCTTTCTTCTTTTGGTTTTGAGTGAGTTTTTTTTTTTCTTTCTTTTTCTTTATCTCTTTCTTTTCTCCTTCTTCTTCTTCTTCTTCTTCTCTTCTTCTTCTTTTCTTCTTCTTCTTTGTGATTTCTGGTAGGTCTTCTGTTTGTTTATATTTGGTGTGATTTTAAATGTTTTCGATTTTTTTATTTTGATTCTGATTCTTAAGAACATTTACGTTTTTTTCCCTTCCATCCCTCCACCTCCTCCTCCTCCTTCTCTTTCTCCTCCCCCCATATCCTCCTCCCCACCCTCTTTCTCCCCCTCCTCCTCCTCCTCCTCCTCCTCCTCCTCCTCCTCCTCCTCCTCCTCCTTCCTCTCCTCCTCCTCCTCCTCCTCTTTTCCTTAATTACAACATAATGCTAATTGCCCTGAGGCGAAAGAGGGCGGGGATACTGTGCTTAGTTTCCCATGGTCGCTCGGAAGGGGGGGATATATATATATATATATATATATATATATATTATATATATATGTATGTATATGTATATGTATGTATATGTATATATGTATATGTATATGTATGTATATGTATATATATGTATATGTATGTATGTATATATATTATATGTATATGTATGTATATATATATATATATATATATATATATATATATATATATATATATATATATATATATATATATATATATATATATATATGGACAGGGGAGGGAGGGGACTGGAAGGGAAAGGAGGGGGATGGGGAAGGGAGAGAGAGGAGGGAGGGGGAAGAGATGGGGAAGGGGAAGAGGGGAGGGAAGGAGGAGAACGGAAGGGGGGGCTGATGGGATGAGAATGGGTAAGGGAGAGGTAGAGTAGGGAAATGGGTAAGAGGTAAGAAAGGGGAGGGGAGGGATTCAGGAGCCCGTTTCGTATTGCTGTTGATTTTTTTTTAGGACCCCCCCCCCTTTCCCCAGTAAAAACAATAAAAAAAAATCAAATTAATTCCCCGGGTCTCAAGGTGTCTGCATGCAGGGAGGGGAAGTGAAGGGAAAGAGGGTGAGGGGTTGAGGGGTCGACAGAAAAAAACGAAAAAATACCCCGAATAAAAAATTATTTTTTTTTTTTTCTTAAAGACAACAAAGGACAGGATTATTCTCCAGCTCATCTCGGTGCAGTCCTGAAGAAAGGGTCCATGAAGATATTTAATGAAGTGGTAATTGGGGCGGGGGTGGTAAGGGGGGAGGAGAGGGGAGAGGGGAGAGGGTTAAGGGGGAAAAAGAGAGAGACGGGGGAGGAGGAGAAAGAAGAGGGAGAGGGTTAGGGTTTAAGGGGGAAAGAGAGAGAGAGGGGAGGGAGAGGGGAGAGGGGAGGGTACCACCCCCACCCACCCCCCACTCTCACTCCCCGCTGCTGCCACAAATTAGGTTGTAGGATAGCCCTCGTTTTTGTGCCTGGTGTCCTCTCTCTCCCTCTCTCTCTCTCCTTTTTCCTGTTTTTTTCTGTGTCCTTTTCCCTGTTTGTTCTTGTAGTATGAGAGAGCTGTTCTTGCCTCTCTCTATCTATCTATCTATCTATCTATCTATAGATGCTCTCTATCTATCTATGTATCTATCTGTGTGTGCGGTGCGATATACACACACATCCTGCTTTCGTTCCGGAGCAACGTTGAGGAACAAACAAATGTCTTTAGTGTCTCCTGATATCAGATGCGAACATGTGTTTGCCCCCGTGTGCGTGCTACTTTGTGGGAGAGAGAGCGTCGCCATCGCTGTTCCAGGCAGGTGCTGACCTCCCCTTCCTTCCCCCCCTCCTCCTCCTCCTCCTCCTCTCCTCTCCTCCCCCTCCTCCTCCTCCTCTCCTCCCCCCTCCTTTCCCCTCTTCCTCCTTTTTCCCCTCTCCCTCTCCTTCCCCTCTCCTCCGTCTCCTCTCCGTCCCTCCCCTCCTCCCCCTCTCTCCCCCGTGTAGCGGCCATTCTCGTAAGGAGATGGCTGGGACGGGGCCGAGGCGGGACCAAGGATG